CTACTAGCTTCTTGTTACTACTAGTAAGGCACCTGTTACTAGTAGCGTGGCACTTGTTACTAGCGAGTCAGCCGAGCTCAGCTCAGTCAGTTCAGCCCTCCACTACGCAGGATTTGCAACAATCGGCAGCGGCAAAGAAGCATTCATCGCTTGCCAGCAGCGGTCGCGCTTTTGATTCAGCCGTACCTCGAACAAAAGAAAGGGCGATTGGAACAAACATGTTTTTTAAGAGAAGAATTGTGGAGAAAAGAGAAGAGTCGTGAAAAGTTGCGACACTCGACAGACATCGACATGTTACGACATCGACGTGTTTCTTAGGTATGTGCTTTTTCACTGTGTCTTCCTGTTCTTGCTGGGAGAGTCATGTATGCAGATGTGGGACTTGATGCAGGCACAAAGGGAACTGGAAGGTGGATTTGTCCTCCAAATTTCGGATGATTCAACCCATATGAGAAATCGATAACAGGAAGGCCCGGTGTTCTTTACATGTTGCGCTTTACTGTTCTGTATCTACTCCTTAAAGATCCTTACTCTCCTGTTTTTCATCTGAAGCAGTCTTGATATCGTCCACAGTAGAAGGCCTGAACACCTTTCCAACACGTTTTCGGACACTCATGTTCGATCTTCTAAGGACTCTTTTGATTCGTTGCAGATGCGTCATTTCTTCTCGTTTCTCCTTCCTTTATAGTTTTTCTCTATCGAGGCTAGTAACAAGAAGCTACTAGAAACAAGTGCATCGCTACTAGTAACAAATGCCTTACTAGTAGGAACAAGTGCCTCGCTAGTAGTAACAAATGCCGACCCTTCTCGAGGCCAGCAGCTGGTTGGATGCGGAGAACTTCCCGCGCTGGCCATACTCGCGTCGGTCGAATGACCCGAGTGAACGTGGACTCTTCGTGGTTTTCTTGCGCTGGATGGCGATCGCCACTCCCATCGTAACGCTCTTAACGGGAATGGTCACCTTAGTGCATCTCTGGTGCCATCATGTGAATTACGAGAGGAAATTTGACAAAGGCCAGGCTTCAGTGTGAAAAGCATGTTTATTTTGAATTTGGTCTGTTCGCATGTCTTTGTTCCTTCTAAATTGTGAACGGGAGGTCTTCATTGGTATCCCTCTCACTCACACGATCTGGCGATGCAAGTTGTGGCCATGCCATTGCTTCTTGTCAGTGTTCGGAGTTTGAGGAGTCTCGAAAAGAATTCTACTAAATAGAGAAAAGAGAAAGAAAGGATGTATGTATTGTCAAGACTGAGGATTTATGGTGTTTTCTCCCTGGACTGTGTGATTCAAACGCTTTTGCTGATGACGGGCCAAGCATCCTTTGGAGATAAAGAGCAAGAGCATGGCCTCGGTCTCGGCCGGACGCCCTCGTCGGAATTCTTGAAGACCTTGGACCTCATGCGGCACCTCACAGAGGAACGAAGTGACATGTTGGTCTGTTTGGTCTTCTGGGGGGTGTAGGCTGCTAGGAGGTAGGAAGCTAGGATGCAGGAGAGCTCGCGCTTCTGCAAGGAAACTCCGCCAGGGCGGCGGGGGAAGCTTGCTTGAAGAAGCGCTCGCACCAATGATTTGGTTCCTAGATTTTTAGGGAAACCTAACAAATAACGTAGAGTCCTTGCTCCTAGTAGGGATGCCCTTTCCTCCTAGTAGCTTCTTGTTCCTAGTAGTAATGCCAGGAGCTACCAGTAGCGTCCTTGCTCCTAGTAGCGATGCTCTTTGCTCCTAGTAGCTTTTGGTTCGTAGTAGTAGTGCCAGGAGCTACCAGTAGCGTCCTTGCTCCTAGTAGCGATGCCCTTTCCTCCTAGTAGCTTCTTGTTCCCAGTAGTAATGCCAGGAACTACCAGTAGCGTCCTTGCTCCTAGTAGCGATGCTCTTTGCTCCTAGTAGCTTCTGGTTCGTAGTAGTAGTGCCAGGAGCTACCAGTAGCGTCCTTGCTCCTAGTAGCGATGCCCTTTCCTCCTAGTAGCTTCTTGTTCCTAGTAGTACTGCCAGGAGCTACCAGTAGCGTCCTTGCTCCTAGTAGCGACGCCCTTTCCTCCTAGTAGCTTCTTGTTCCTAGTAGTATTGCCAGGAGCTACCAGTAGCATCCTTGCTCCTAGTAGCGATGCTCTTTGCTCCTAGTGGCTTCTGGTTCGTAGTAGTAATGCCAGGAGCTACCAGTAGCGTCCTTGCTCCACCATGCTTGCCAATCAGAAGTGGCATCACCACCGTCACTCTGGACGGGTGGCGAAAAAGTGAACCCTAAAGAAAACAACAAAAGAGAGACAAGTGAATTAAGCACCATGTTCAGAGATCGAAAATGCCCACGATAACAGTGTCCGGCCCGCTCCATTCAGAAGCAACCTAGCAAAATGCCGTAACTCAGCATCGGAAAAAAGCGGCCGTGCTCCACGAATCATCCCCTTGGGTAAGGCTCGACCGCAGGGGTGGCAGTGCTCGGAGCAGTGAACTCCCGGAAGGAGGAGTTGGCCAGGCAAAGACAGAGCCACACCACTTCTTCAAAGTCTTGGCCAGCGTTCCAAAGGATTCTTGTGGAGAAAACTTTGTCAGAGCATGTTTGCGGGAAATGAAAAGGTGAGCAAGTTCCACATAGGCGACGGACACAGTTGCATCCACCCGCCACTGCAAGGATAAGAGAAAAGACAAAAACTGCTCCGCATCATCAAGACTGCACAATGTTCGCACTTGCGCCGCACCAGAACAAGCTGCTTGCGCACGCCATGTAAAAAGTGAGCAGTTCGGGGTCCAATCCCATCCTGGAAAGCGGGATTTGCATTCATCAGCGTCATTCGCCTGGAGGGTGTCTTCCTTGGTTTGGAAAACTTGTTTTACAACACCATCTGACCCAATGATTTGGTTGAGGCGAGTGAGTGCCTCTTGGCGCTGCTGGGCAGCTTGGAAAGTGAGTTGCCACATGTCAACATGGAAAGCTGCAGAGGCCTTTGCTACACGCTTTGCCTCCTCGTCAGCACGGCGATTCGCCCTGATATGCCACCCGAAGAGACCGGATGGGAACGGTTCATGTATTCCAATACTGCTTAACACACGATGATCACATGTGTGAGCTGGCATCCACACGACTCGGACTGGCTGCGCACAGCGCATTGCTTTGGATTGCCAGACATCAAGGATTTTCCTCCAAATGGGAGCGTGGCTTCAAGACACAGGTATATTGCCACCCTGAGTCATTGAGGAGAAAAGATCGACAATAGTTTTGCAGTCTGTAAAGATCGTCACGCAAGCCGGTGCCAAAATGATTGCGACTGCCAATGCAAAAAGCTCAGCTGTGTACGCAGCCAACGAGATATGTCTCACAGGCCCTGAAACAACAAGATGTTCGGCACTGTCGAAAATAGCGTAGGCTGCGGTCGTGAGCCAAAAAGATTCCTGGAGTACCACAGAGCCATCTGTAAACCATGTGAGCTCTTCTGCAGCTGGATCAAAAGCATCCGGATTAAAACCGGGGAGATCAGAGACCTGCAGCCGGGAGGAGGCAATAGCTGCAGGGTGTTCTATGATTCCTAAGCCACCAAAATTAGGCCCCAATTCATGATCAGGAAGGCTCGCAATGAAGGAGGGTGCAGCCGGGCACTCCTTGACAATGTGCAAAAGAGATTCCTTGGTTTGCAGGCAAAAACGGCATGCCGGGGAATCAATGAACCCAGCAGCTGCCCTTCTGTCATTGGTAATGGTGCACCCTACCAGCTGTGCATCAAAGTGGCACATCAATTCTTTGGGATTAATGTGTTTCGGGGGACACAGCTTGAAGGCCAAAGAAAGCCTATGATCAACCAAACCAGTGGGTTTGCGAACGTCCTTTCGGGAGTTGTAGTTGGTACTTTCATAGCAAAACTGTCGACCCAAAGTGTGCAGCATTCCTCGCAGGTCTTTAGGAGTGACATCCAAGATCGAGAATGTTGAGGAACCTATGCCAATGCGCAAGTCGGGCAAAAGCGTACAATGGAACACCAACAAGGCCTTACGAAAATGCGCAAGGAGACTATGTTTATGATGGGTGGCATGAACGAAAAGCCCTTGGAGTTTCTCCACAGCCTCAGGGTGTCGGTGCAGGTAGCGCCAAACATTGCAAACAGTGACATACGCTCTTGCCACCTGCGGATGCACAAAGCATGGGTTGCACAAGAAAGTGAAAATGAGCATCCGAGCACGCCAGTGGGGCCTCCTGCCCCAAATAGCATTAGCAATCTCATTTTCAATTTTCGCACAGGCAAGCTTCGGGATAGAGGAGATGTCAGAAGCAAATGTACACTGTGGGATGACCTTGGCAGCAATCAACTGGCATTTAGTAGCTGTGGGAACAGGAAGAGCAGCAATGTTCTTAGTGTCATTACAGATCTTGATCACCTTTTTTTCAGGAAAATGAAACGCATCTCGTTGTGCTGTGTAAATCATGGCACCGAGAGCATCAAATTCGAGAACGATCGGGATGGTTGGGAAGAGCTTACGGGCAGTTTTCCGTGCAGCGCCATTGGATGCCCACAACGAGCTTTTGGCAGGGTTGAGTTGCTGACCAATGAGTTCATTCCACTTCTCAGTAACCTGCAGGGCAGTTCTCAGGGATTGAATGCGTGAAAGTCGAACCCATAAATAAGCGTCATCGATAAAAACCCGGCAGCAGACATGTGGGATAACGCTCATGAATTTTGCCCACACAGCCACGTGGACATTAATGGCAAGAAGTGACAGGCTACAGCCTTGCGCGACACCGTTCGCAGCGGTGGTGGGAATACTCGAGACCCACCCTCTGTATGAGAGATGGCGTTTCAGGGAGGCATACATCTTAGAGAAACCGGGCTGCAGTAAAATCAGGGACCAAGCGATCGAAGCACTTTGACTGATCCAGCTTAATCCCGACCAAGGGGTCGGACGAAGCTTGAGCGGAGTCTAGTTCTAAACGCAAGCCAACACTGACATCGGACATGTCCCGATTTTTGATTCCCCCACACAAAGTTTGAGGAAAAACACAATTCTGCCACTCTTGCAGCTGCCGAAAACGGGTTCCAGTGTAGGCAAGCAACATGGGCGAAAGGATGGTAATCAATCTTTTATTGAGGGGGGATGCGGGTCCTGGTTTGTTCAGAATAACTTGTTTCGCTCTAGTGAGGACCGCAGGCATCTCTGAGTCACATTCGTCTTCCAAGGCACAAAAGAAACTTGCAATGGCCCTGCAACACGGCAGTGGAAGATGCTGCAGGTCAGTCGTCCGCCAGCCATCCATGCCGGGAGCTGCCATCGGGTTCCGCCTTTTGATAGTAAGTGCAATTTCTTGCCCGTGAGTGGGGGCAACTCAAAAGGTTTTTGTTCTTCAAGGTATGGCCAAATAACATTTAACATGTCAAGGGGGTTATTCCGCAACAGATTGGCGCTGTAGATGGCGTCCCAATCATTGGCAATACACGAAATGGCCTCTTGTGGATTGAAAATGATATGGCCCTCTTGGTCAAGAACCAGATTGGTGGGTTCATCAATGCACTTATTTTTCAAATGGTGGAAGAGATGTTTCTTATCAGTCTTGGCGGAGTCCTGCATACGGCACTTCCAAGCATCAATGCGCACACGTTTCTTGGTGGTTTCCCATCGAGAAATCTCCTCCTTAACCCACCCCACATTATTGAAAATGTCAACCAGGGTAAGAGTGAAAGGGGAACTCCAGGTCCAAGGGGAATTAAGGCAACCCAAGCTTCTCCAAGCCTTTTTTGCAGTACGCTGGAAAATAATGGCGTCGGAAAGTTTCAAGCTCCCAAAGCTGTCGAAGGACTTTGAAGAGTTGGGAACCCTTCTGTGTGGCCGCCGAGCCATTAGGGAGCTGGCCAGGGCAAATCCGCTTCCTAGTGAAAGAGGGCAAGATGCCCCCTACATGAAGACACCCGCCCATCAAACTACGATACGGTGCCTCGGCTTTCCCGTAATACTGGTATTGTTTTTCGCAAGGCCGACTCCCCCAGACCACCTGGCCCCGACCATGAGAGCGTTGCTGGGCGGTTACCATCGCCCCCGATTGAATCAAGTTCCCTAGTCTTCACGGACGGTAGCTGTTTTTCTCACAAGTGGCGTCACGCTCGGGTTGCGGCTAGTGCGGTATACATACTTGCCCAATTTAGTTTTGCCACTCTCTTGCCTGGTGTTGACCAAACTTCCCAACGAGCTGAACTCTACGCAGTTTTGTTGGCCCTACTGGCTACAGCCGGAGATGTTGTGATCGCTTCCGACTGTCAAAATGTTGTCGCCGGCTTTCGCCTTCTTGAACAAGTTCACTTTCGGTTGCTCAAGGCTGAGTGCTTGGACAATCGGGATTTGTGGGCTTTAATCTGCACTCACATTCGCAACCGATCCGGCCAGGTTGAAATAATCAAAGTTCAGGCCCACTGCCGTGTTGGTGATTTACAACAACCGGA